GTAATTTTGTGATGTTTATTTTGCAGAGACAACTATAAAAAAGCCATTCGTTGGTCAGCTTTCCAAAAAATGTAAATACTGTGGATGTGTAGTGGTATTAAAACATCGCTATGTGCGTTTGAGCTGTCTAACAGGCAAAATGAGTGCTTGAGAAACCTGTCTGAAAGCAATCATAAGTTTGCTGTTTAATTTGGTGCCATTAGTGGTGTAGAAATTATGCACTGCAGCTTTAAGGCACTTAGTCATCTAGAAATATAGCACTGTTTGTCTTGTCAAGTAGTTGAGGTTTCTAGGAGGCTGTTTCTGTGTCCGAGAAAAAAATACAACAGGTCATTGTGAGTTTAATGCAAGATATAAAGTCACATACAAAAATGAAGTTATATTGTATTGCAATTCTGTGACATAAGAAGATGCAGTTCCAGGAAATAGTGTTGCAATCCTGAAAAAATAAAAACTGTGAGATTAAAAAAATTTCAATTAAGAGAAATAAAGTCGCAATTACCCTAACATAACATCTGTTAAAAATTAAAAATTAACTTTCAGGATAACAGATTTTTAAGAGCTGAATGTTGTTTGAAATCCTCCTTTTAAAATAATTAATTGACATGACTTTAGTGATTTACTGGATACATTTGCTGGATTTAAAGGATCACAATTTTTAAAAATATTTTTTACTCACAATTTATACCTGATTAAATATTTTAGAGCTTGGCATAACTTGAAAAACTTATATTTTGTCTTATGTTAAATTACTTAAGTCGTCTTGAGGCCCTGGCCTAGAGGACCATTGGTTAAGAACCACTGCTTTACATCATTTTTATTTTTGCACATAAAGCAGAGGACGAGACAGTACATCATCTCATATCATATGTTACACATTTGGGCCTAGAACCTGTTTTTCAATCAGCACTGACTGTGATCAATATTCAGTAGTACTTGTTGATGGGTATTTAGTGATCATTGTTGGCCTTGATCAGTGTGTGAGTGCTGAGAATATCCTTCCATCTCAGAGTGCTTAGAATCATCAGGGGCCAACGCATTTTTTCATTTGGTGGAAAATATGTGTGCAACTGAATTAGGCATTTAAATGAGATGTATTATATCACATTCTGTACTATCTACAGCAGTGGATAGTACAGAATCCCCTCCTTTGTCTGGCACACCCATTTCAGGTCTTGTAGTCTCTTCAGCTGAAGATCTGAATCAGGTGTGTTTGATTAAGGAGACAGGGAAAACATGCAGTGTTAGGGAGGGGCGGGCGGGGGTCTCCAGGAATGTGGTAGGGAACCATGCTTCTCACTCCATATGTCGCCCCTTAGTAACAGAAAAAAAGAGAACAACTTCTTTGCGTGTCTCTGGTCAGTGTCATGGTGATAGTTGTGGCCCTGTAGATGGCTAAACGCATGTCTCTCAAACTGTATTGCACTTGATATTTCTGTTTTACTGAGGGACTTGTGATGCAGGGTTGGTGATTTAAGGCCCTGACATACTCACTGCAAAGTTTTTTTTTTCGTTCTTCACAAAACTTCAAAATACCTTTTGCAGCAGTGTACTGTTAAAAACATTCTAATGCTGCCCACACTGTGGAGCAGCATTTAGATGAATATATAAATATGTGGCGCACGCTTTCCTCTCAATAACAAAATAAACACTCAACAAAAATCACAGCCACACCGATATGCCCTGCAATTCGGCACTCTGGTCACATCATCTTTATTTATATAGTTCTTTAATACAATAGATTGCTTTAAAGCAACCAGCTTTATTACATTACACATGAAAAACAGTGTCAGTGTCACTTTCAATTAGAATTACAACTTCAATTTCTCCTATAAAATAGCTCTCCAGTGTGTTCATGTTTTTACTTGCACCTGACCTCGAGTGACTGAACAGAAGAAATAAACTAGAAAAGATTTCCATGCGAAGGTTTCTTCCAGCCAGAGCAATCTTTCTGGCAAGTTCGCTTTGGCATGCTGTTTCGAACTCCCCAAACAAACTTGAACACCAGTTTGCTCTTCAATTTCAATTGACATATCAGGGCCCTTAATCTGTATTCAGTGGTAGTTTTAACTAAACAGAAAAACACCCATTTTCACCACTGACCTCTCATCAAAAATCCACCTCAGATATGGAAACTCCAGCTCTTGGAGGGATCATTCCGTACCAAGCAGGGCCGGATTTACCTGTTATTGTGACATAGGCAAAAGAACTTAATAGCCCCTTTGCCTATTAATATATATTGTTACCACCCCAAAACAACAAACAAAATTAATCATAATCCATATGAAAACCATTACAGTGTTCTCTATTGCAAAATTCTGTTGCATGCGAAATAATGTGCCTAGAATGCCTATGCATAAATCCGGCCCTGATCAAAAGCAAACAAAAGCATTTTTCATGAAAATTAATTTCTAATACAACCAGAGATAGAGGCTTTTTGAATTGTGCTGTTCTTCAGCTAACAAATTCTGGAAATGACTTTTAGATAAGCAGAAGGGATATTAGAATGTGAAAGCCAAATGAAATCAGAAATCAGAGCAAGCCATCCACCCCACTGAGGGCCGTGACCATATCCACAGTTAAGCATTAATCACATTATTCGGTTAAAATACTGCTCTACCCATCTCCGCTGCTGTTGTAAATATTTGGTTTGTGCACAGAAAAATAGGTTTCTGTTGATCATAAATGGAACAGAAACAGGAGGAGATACAGGCGGTTTCCCTGTAAACTGCTGGGGGATGTTTTGAGAGGTACTTGTGTAGAGAAGAAGTTCAGCATGGATAAAAAGGCCTGTGGGCTAGTTTGCTTGTGTTGTGGGTTAAAGTTCCCACCTCTGATCAGTTCAAACGGAGACGGGTCATTCTACATCTGCAGTAGTGAAAAAAATAACAGATGGAGGGAGAGGATTTGTGCAGGAACATATTGGTGCTGTGATATAAGGAAAATATACACTCACTAGAAAAAAATATATATATTTTGATATTTGAAATTACTGTTTTGTTCACATAATGAATGTCAATGGGGTCCAAAACAACACTAGACCCTACTGCGTGGACAAAACGTACTCATCTTTCTTTTATGTTCCACAGAAGTCATATAGGTTTGGAACGACATAAGTGTGAAAATTCAATTCAAATAAAACTTAAAAAACATCCCATTTAAAATAGTTTGTCTATGGAAATGGCTCCAAGCTATCTAATTTAAGTATCTTTAAAGGTGCCGTCACATTCGCAAATTTACAGTGAAATTTTGTGGGGCCATTGTATATCGTGAAGCTTAGCTCACACAGAAGTTACTTTCAAACCAAGCAGCTTTTTGTTGGCCAACATGGCAAATTCACATGAGAAAATTGAACCCATTACGAAGTCTATGTGAGGAAATCTTTTGACTTTCACTCGAAATTCCCAACTGCATGGATTTCTATTGAAATGACTGGATTATGCCCGCAAAAGTTTGCCAAACAACAGTAAATTTGACTGCACCTTAAGCCTACTATGTAAAGCTAACCAAAGACAAATTATGTTATCACTGTTTTTCTGGCAATTATTTTTTTTGACACTTGATATCATCAAATAGCTTATTGTTTGCCAATAAATAATTCACCTGTGAAGTCTGGGCTTTCAGCGATGGCACTGATGGGTGTGTTTGCTTCTGATAAAGCTGTGCTCATGATCTTTGAACGATGAAAGATGATGAAAGCAGGATTTCCACTCCTGTTTAAAGTTGGAATGCTTCAGTGGGGAGTTTCCTGGGATTTCAGCTTTTTCCATCAATCCTGTTGGACACTCAAAATGTAATAAAAATTATGGAATGTATAATAAACAATCACAGATGTTTGGTAGGTCAAATGCTCGCTTTAAGAATGTTTCATCAAAACCAATCTCAGGATGTGACATACAGGAACACACCAGTGGACTTCTATGGAAATATCAGATCCTGTAACAAATCCTAATCCTTGCTGTCTAGCATATATAAACTAAAGACATGCCCACTATGTAAAGGTGAACCTTTGTGAACTGCAGGTCTGTCGATTGTTCATACAAATTGAACTTTTAATTAATCTGAGATCCTCAAGTTATTAATGTGCTTTTCTGTTTATACATCCTGCAAAGAGCTTCATTGGTTAAGGATTTGTGGCCACTATCTGTGTTTGCATGCTTGTGCACACCAAAAATATTCATATAAACAGAACAAGTGGTTTACCAAGACTTATTTCCATATTCTTCTTTAATTTCAGTGTTCGTTCTTATGTCAATCTCTGATTCAGTATGAAGGAATTTGTTCTCTTTGCTGCTGTGACTGGAGCCAATGCTTATTAACAAAAGACTAATTAATCTCTGCTGGTGCAGCACAGCAATTTCACATGCTGTCAGCTGGAAATTAAAGAAAGGGAGACAGCAGAATATTGGGGAATACAAGGAAGCTACACACATTACATCTAAACATCTTTTCAATTTACTTAAGCAGCAAACTTACATAACAAGATTAAAAAGTGTTAATATGAAGGATGTAAAAAGTACTAAGAAACTGTACTTAAGTTAAAGTACAAGTCAAAATGTTACTCAAATAAAAGTCTAAGTACCTAGCCCAATACATACATAATTATTTAGTTGAAGTCAAAGGTGTCCACATTCAACTTAAATGTTTATTTAGTACTTAAATATCTTATTATTTTTTCCTTCTCAATTCAATATATTTTCTTTTAAGAATGTTTAGATATGTTTACTTGAAAACAAGATAAAAGACTTTTCATCACGTTTCAGTGCTGAACACAGCTTTAAAAGTGAAACTACTTACTGTCTTGATTTTATTTTATTTTTTTATGTTTTTATATTTTTTATCATTTAAATTATAATACAATTGCAAATAATATATAGCTTAAGCTTCAAAAGGTCCCGGTGAGGTTTTAACATCACGGTCAAAGTCATAACTCCTCGTGTCCTTGTAACTGGAGACTATTGCACCGCATACGCTCGTGGGGCCGAACAGCAGTTGTGCGCATGTGCAGCAAGGTTTCTATGAAGAGTCGAGCGAATGGGAAACTCACACATCACAGATCCACGAATCCACGGAGCCATTCGGAGCTCTCCATGCTGCTCAGTGACCCGGGGCCGTCGCACATTGCAGACGAACAGCGCGAACTTACAACCGGAGTTGGTGAATGAAAAGCGCAGGTATGTTACATGGGCGCTTTTACAAGCGTATTGTGCGGACAACATGGTTCTACTGGAGAGAGGGGGGTCCGTTTAACTTTAGACGCGTCTTGAGCTTTAGAAGAACACAATTAATTAACCTGAACTCTGGAGGGTGCGAGCAACACTCTTTTTTGTGTTCGCCTCTCAATGCAATGTTTCGGGTCAGTTACATCATTCGCAATGTCGTAGTACGCGCAGACTGGCAGATCGAGACATTGTGCCGATTTGAGACAGACTGGTGGGAGAATAGGGGTTTTGTGACCCACCGTCATCAAAAAAGACACTTCTCTTAAGACCAAGAAGCGGATCTCCATTGTTCAGCCTTTTGAATCTATCGCTACGCGCGCGTATGACGCGTTCACGTGAGCAATGAAGGGGTGATGATATGAGAGGAAAAAATGTCAAACTAAATAAAATTATAATAGTTATTAAACACAGCATCTGTTCACATGCCTTGTTTTAGCATTTTGAGTCATTTTTATATTTATTGGAAGTCTTGTTTTTTTTGTTTTTTTTGAGGTATGAGGAATTTACTATGTCTGGATCAAAGGCTGACAAGATGCCTACATGTAGCCATGTGCAGTGTTTTAGGGTATATGAGGCCCTAAAGTTCCATCTAGGCAAGCATCTCATCGTTTTTTGAAACATTATTGAGTAGCTTGCTTTTCAGACAAAATTTCTATAGTCCTATTTCTTCTCAACCAATGTCACCAAGCAACTAGTAAATGTAAAGTGAGCAAGGGAAAACACTGATGGTCTGACTTCAGAATCCCTCTACTTGCGTTAAGCTAAATTTATAGCTCAGCTTCCACTTCCACTGGAAACCAACACTTTGAATAAACAAATAAAAAGTTCTAAGCAAACTCCATTCCGCTCCACTAGTATTTTTGTGTCTGAAATGCCAAAACTAAAATACTAACTAACTGCATAAATTCATTTTTATATAGACAATGTATTCTTATTAAAGATAATCTGATTTAGTTTAACAGCTAGTTATTGCAGGTGAAAGTTTAAACATCTGATGTTGCATCATGAGCTTATTGGTATCATCAAGCAAATTTCATAAGGTTAAATGTAGGTAACCTCAGACTGAATCAAATAGATCCCTACTCAATTTGGGACTAGCATGGAGAAGAACAATGGCTGGTAGAAAGATATCAGAGGTCAGACTGTATTATTGGGCACAATTGGTGCCACTCAAGACTCTGTGTGGTACAATAAAGGTATTTGCATGCCAGAAACCATATATATGAATTAACCATATGATTTTGAGTCTATGGTAAGTGAATTCAGGTATAAGAGATACACACCAGTTACCCAAACTGTATATAAAAACATTACTTTACAAAAGAGCAGCTTCTACATCTTATCAGTATTAGTGTTCTGATGCAACTTCATGTTCAACTTTTGCCCCCATTGAGAGTGTGACAATCTCCCATCAATGAAACTGGGTGTGTAATGTTTTGCTGTAATGTTTGCCTAAAAGTCCAGGTGTTCTTGTGTTGTTTGAGATCCAGTTGACTGACGTAACATTCAGTGTGATTTGACGTTAAGTTCAGCGGTCATGTGGGAATTTGATCAATTACAAATCACAAGGTCAGAATTGAGGTTGTGGAAGGGAGAGCAGCCAGGTTCAACAATTCAAAGGGGTCGGTCACAAGACTGATAATAAACGGTCTCCATCTAGCACACAGTTATGGCTATTATATTTCTTTACAGGTATTGTTTAGTGATGTTTGTTGCTAAGACAACCACAAACTAATTATAGTGTCATTCTGTGATAGTTTGGCAGATCTACGCATATCGTCTCACAGGCGGTGTTCAGTAGTGATTTGTTTGTGCGTGTGATTGTGTGTTCTTGTATGAGTTGGCAATTGAATATGACAGAAAGGTCGTTCTATTGTTGGATGCTGCAGACTCACTGTTGCATGTCAGAGATTTTGACTGCGTCTACACTTAGGGGGTAGTCGTGACCTAATGGTTAGAGTAACCCAAAGGTCACTGGTTCGAGTCTCGGTACCGGCAGGGATTGTAGGTGGGGGGAGTGAATGACCAGCGCTCTCTTCCAACCTCAATACCACGACTGAGGTGAGACCCTTGAGCAAGGCACTGAACCCCCAACTGCTCCCCGTGTGCCACAGCAAAAATGGCTGCCCACTGCTCCAGATGTGTGTGTGTGTGTGTGTGTGTGTGTGTGTGTGTGTGTGTGTTCACTGCTTACTGCTGGGTATTGGGGGGAACTAAAGTGAAATTGCCACTTTAAAATGCTATGGACAAAGTCGAACTAGGGATGCACCGAAATGAAAATTATTGGCCGAAGCCGAATAAAATGAAACACTGGGCCGAAGGCCGAATACCGAACAAGGTTTTTCGCATCATTTTTCCCCATGTAGGCCTATTTTGCCTTTTTTTTTTTTTTTCTCACTATTGCATAAATGAAATAGCCAAAATGTGCTTTTTACTGTTTGGTCCTGGTTTTCAAATAAAAAAATAAATTATAAAACAACAATTTAATTTACTTAACACTGAACATTTTTTTAACATTCTAGCAGACATTATACCAACAAAGCACAATTTAACTTAAAATTAATAAGTTAGTAAAATAATATTTTTGGCCATTTTTGAGACTTGAATCAGGCATGTATTTTTTACTAATAATAGCAGCCTTGCTGAGCAGAAGATAATTCTTTTAAAACATTAGAATATATTACAGATCCCAATTTGAACACTGTGTGAATATTATAATAAATGTATTAATAGAGCTGTTGTAGGGCAATTATTATTATTGTCTTATTTTTTAATTTTATTTTACAGAACAACAGTAAAATTACAATACTAACATTTATGAATGTTGATGGAGTTGTTGCTTTTTCTCGGCTTTTATTTTGGCAGAAACCTGCAGAAAGATCTCAGTGCTTCTTTTTGTTAACAACAGCATGCAGATGATTCTCATTACGAATTTGGGAAGATGTTTGTCACACGTATCACATTGTCACATGCCTTTAAAAAAATTCACAAAAATGTTACTGAGCAACTGACAAGTAACAGTGTTTCAGCGCAGATTTTCCTCGCGCTTTGGACTTTGAACTCTGGCGCCGCGAGCTTGTGCAGCGCCGTCAGAATACATGCAATTCGTGCGTGTGATTTCAATCATCATACAGTAGCCTAACCACAGCATCAGCCACCTCTTCTTCTCATCGGAGACATGTGATACAGCACTAAACAGTCTCTCGATGTCGGTGTTTCATGCTTGTAATGATTTCTGCGTCTTTCTCTGATAGTTTTAAATAGTTTCACACTGCCGACATGTTTGCTGCATTAGTGCGTGCCTCTATTTGATCGCGTTAGTCATTGGTCGGTACGTATTATTCGGTGCATCCCTAAGTCGAACATTATCTAAAAAAGGCACGTAAACTAAAAAGACTGATGAAAAGAGGAGAAAACATAATCTTGCACCAGCACTAACGCATATTAAAATCTTTTTAAACTAGGCCTACTCATGACCACCTTTACCAGAAGAATTTATCACGTTTTATTGTAGACTTATTTTGCTGAACTTGATGTAGAATTTATAATAGATAATCTGTTAAGGGAATATATTTTTCCATATAGATTTATATTACATATGTGGCATGTTGTAGCTATTGTTTCTAAATGTGCAGGCTGTTGTTTTTCATAACAAATGCTATATAGATTAATTAAAAAAAAAGGGAAAAAAAGAAGAAAAAAAGTTATTGGCCTGGTAATGAATAATAGGCTAGCCTTATTATAACAAATGCTGTTAAGAACTATGGTACATTTTCATAAGAGCAAGTAGCTACAAGTCAGAATCGAGAGCCATGTGTAAATGGGTTCTATGATGAGTGATGGAAAAAACTGTCCTTCAGATATTATATATTCAGATATAGATGGCATAGGTTAAATCATTAAGAGCCTGATGAACTCTTAAGGAGTAAGAAATAAACATTATCAATATAAGAAAATGTTAAGTTAGATTGTCTTCCCATGGCATGTTGAATTAGAACATTCTGTCAAACCATGACCCGGGTCTCCACTAAAACAGTGGAACCAATGTTCAAACCAAAACTACGCCCTTGGCTACATGACTCGTCACTTTCACTTTCTAAGAGTCGATGGTTGTGACATTGAGTCTTGTAACTGAATTAGGCAACATAAAGTTTGCGGTTTGATGAAAGGTGAAATACTCGAGGGATATATAATGAGCTTAAAGATATGACTCTACTCATTAGTTTGAGGGTGAGAAGTCAAGTTAGAGAATGCCCTTATGGAAATTAACCATGGTTTTACTACAAATAACACCAAAAAACCATGGTTACTATAGTTAAACCATGGTAACCACAAATTAACCGTAGTTTTGCTACACTAACCATAGTTTAACCATGGTATTTGTAGTAAAACTGTGGTTATACCAATGTAATCAACTAGCCAAAAAAAACACGGTTACTACATTTAAACCATGGTTAATTTTTGTATGGGTGGAAAGGAAATTTAAATAAGAATGCAGAACAAGGAAGGTGTGTATGGCTTGTGGCAGGTCTGTCTGGCTATTCCACTCTTCTCTTGGTGGTAAATGTTATTTATTTTGAGATGCACACTCTTAAACATTTGTCAACATCCTTAATGCAGTGGTTCTCAACCTATTTGACTCCAAAGCCCCCCATTGTCCATGACAATGTTTGTAAGCCACATGACTTTTCAAGTTATTCGTAAGTTACTAGGTAAGAGTTTTTACTTTTTTTTTTAATTTATTTACAATTTCTACATGATAAAATATTTTAGCGCTTGTCATATCTAGTAAAATGTATACATTATATAAATTCCCACAGAGTTAAGACTTTTTTTTTTAATTTACATGATTTTTCCAGGTCTCAAAATCACACTTAATCAGTATATCCTGATTTCTCAAGAACATGGGAATCCTGTTTTTGCAAAGCACAAAAACACTCATTAAGTGAATA